GGTAACTTTCCAAGGAGTTCAGAGAACGGATTGTTGGAAGAAATCTCCTTTTGTTTTTTTCCCACTTTAAGGAGCTAATCCTGTAAGGAAGGCAGGAAGGAAACATTCTGGTGTTGTTTCTAGCCTAATCTTTATTGCCCTGCTTACAGAAACTGCCTCTCCGGTTANCAGCCAGCGTGAGCCGAGGCTGATAAAGTTATTTCCTTTTAAGCCTGTTTGCCTGTCGTCTTTGAACTAGCGCAGGAGGGGGGACAGAACACTGCCTATTTTCTCCGGTTTTGCTAACCTAGAAATAGGAGGTAGGGGAATTTGGAGGAAGTCTTATGAATGTCACTTCAGGCATCATTTATGTACCTCTTCATTGCAACTGAGGACAGACATTTTCTATTAAAGTGAACCAAACTCCATGCTGTTGTAAAAAGGCAAGTACCATGAAATATATCTCCAGTGAACCAGACTTTCCAGAGCTATGTAATAACTGGTATTTATGCACATAGTAAAACCCTTGGCACTTTCCCCAATATTTGATTCTTTCAAATAATTCACAGATCAGTTCTGAGTCTTTGCTGTAGTATTTCTTCCAGAAACAGATTTGGAGTCTGTGGAAGAAGGGTAGTGAATGCTATTATAGTCATTTGTTTCATCTGGAAGTGCACTGCATTTTAACACATTGCTTTTGTGCCATGCTTTTCTTCCTGTGTAATTATATTTATTTATCTTTTAATTGGTTCATTTATAGGTTCTTTTCTGAAACAGGATTTTGAAAACTAAGTTTCTTAAGATCACGTAGTGGTTTCTACAATGCAGAATTCTTTTATTTCTTCATGAGATCTGTTGGTCTGCCAAATGCTTCTGCTTAGGGTATGAATTTTCATGTGCTTGAATTGTCTAAGGCTTTAGATTCATCCTCTTAGCCAATTATGACAATCACCTAGGCACAAAGGAACAAATTTGGATGATGAGTTTTTCTGAAAATCAGTTTTTTTTTCTCAGGATATCTGATTTAGCAGAAGGATTTTAGCAGCAGAATTTCCTCCCCTGTGATGAAAATTCCTCCACAGATTTAGAAGCAAGCACTGCTTCCAATCTGAACTGCGTCCCAGATGGGAGGAATAAACATTTCCTCCCATACCTTATTAACCCTTACTCCCTATCTGCTATTTCAGTGGTGGGTTTCAAAAATTGTTCGAACCTACTCTGTGGGTGTGGCCTCCTTTGTGGGAGTGGCTTGCTACCCATGTGACCAGATGGGAGTGGNCTTCAGAGGACCTGAGGCAAGAGCAGTGTTGAAGTCCTCTCTGAAGCAGCTGGAAAAGATATGTGTGGGTCAGAGGGAGGAGGAGGAATTCAAACTCCATCCTCCTGGTGCTGTGTGGGGCTTTGGCCAAAGGCTGGAGGGAAGGATTCTGGCTCGCTTGTGCAAGTGTAATTTGATTGTAGGTGGAACCACGTTGCCTTTTCAAACCTATAATCAGTAAATCTGGGCTGGATTTTTACATAGCTGATCCGGGGAAAGTGTGTGTGCTACAGCATGGCTCTTTGCCTGGCTTCCTGCCTTCTCTTGTGGTCTTCTCAGTGCTCACTTGTGCTCTCCCTCCTCAAGTGTAGTGACTTCATCCCCAGGCCCCCATCCATTTCTCCCCCACACACATGCACGCAACTGAATAAAGCTATGTAAAAATCCAGCCTCTCAATTATATCTTCCAGTTGTCTTTCTTATTTCTCCCCCAGTCTCTCTCCCACATTTTAAACCAAGGCTTTTGAAATCAGTGAAATTCCTTTTAATTTGTCTCAAGCAAAATTATTTCCTTTCTTCCTCCTTCCCGTCCTTTATGAGGCTGGAATTCCAAAGTGACTACATTTTTGTACCATCTAGCCAAAATTTTTGAAATCCTCTCTCTCTGTCCATTTCTGATTTCAAAAATTTCCATATAGTCAAAGATCTTTTCCTCATCTAATAAAATGCTACTGCTGGTTTAATGTTCTGTTTTTCTTGATGCACATCCCCAATAACACTTACTAATCTAATATCTTGGCAACCAATAAAATAAAAATAAAAATAAAAGCAGTTTCTGCACACGAAATAATCTAAGGTCATATCATCTATAATCTATGTGCCAGGGACACTATTAATATGTTTCCATCAGTCCTTAACTAGGAAATTGGAGGACAGCTTGCACGATTGGCAGGATTTTTATAAGCTGTCAAAATCACACTTACATAAGCTTTATTGAAGGAGGTTGGGACATTGGATAGGTATAATTATAAACCTCAATATATCACTTATGCTCCTCAAAGCATCAATCCTAAAGACATTTCCTCTTTGCAAATAATTAGTTTATCTTGTTTCTTGGGGTTTTTTTTAAATTAGTTTCTAAAGAAATTGATTTCAAAGTATTGGCTTCTCTTGTTTCTAAAGCTGCAACCAGCTACGATTCCGTCTAATTTGTTCAACAGATAAGGGATGTTTGTTACAATTAGGAATTTATTTCAAGGGGAACACACAGTCTTCGCTCAGATTCTGCTGCTATCTTTGATGCTCTTCAGTGTGGCTTTTGGAGTATTAATGGAAATTTTGTGTTGCGATTCCCTTTCCTACCTAGATACATATGGCAGCTTTTTTCATACTGCCTTGTTGTGACTCAGCAGAAGTTTGCTGTGAGTTGAGTCGGGATGCAGGANTATGATTAAGGTTTGAGGTTTGAGGTTTTATTTAATTTGTATGCTGCCCTATTCCCGAGAGACTCAGGGCGGCTTAAGAACTAGACAGGAAATTTCATTAAGGTAATGATATGAAATGATGTGAAAGATAAGAAAAAATATTTTGCTACCATTTTATGAATGTGAATGATGCAATTCTTATGAACTTGGCCTGCTCTAATATATAGTGTAAAATATATTAAATAGATATATGTTTTATAATATATGTTTCGATATATGGTATCTAACATACTGTATATCTTTAAGTAATAAGAATGCTGTGTTTGGCTCTGCATGTTTTTGAGTGTTCCTGTTATTTTCAGGAAATTCTGTTGCGCTACGTATATGAAAGAAAGGAAATGCAGTTTGTATACATGAAACTATTGATTTATGGAAAATTAGAGAATTTTATTTTTCTATTTTACAGAAAATGTCATGAAACAAAAGATCTATGAGTAGTTGCCTTTGATTTTTGTTTGATCTTTTTCACCATTGTAGTCAGTCCTTTATTTCATCCCTATCCTGTTTTTAAATCGTGTTTTAAGGAACCCTAGGCTTTTGCAAGGATTTCTGGGATTTTGTGAGGGGAAAAAAATCACTCAAATGCAGTCAACCACTAAAGCTTTATCTTTCAAGGCTTTTGGACAAGGCTTTTGGGATTTATTTATTTATTTTTATTTAACAGGTTCAGTAGCCTAAAAGACATAGGAAGCGTTATCGTCCTGATCTATTCTTTGTCACTGTTAATATGTTATAGATTTGTTGCGTATGCATATTTGTTACATCCACTTTCAAGCTTAGAATCTTAGCAACAAACAGAATTAATTTACATATTCTTATAAACACATTCTTATATTCTTATAAACACACACCCCCAAAATTGTGTTTCTGTGGTTGATTGTATTCCAAGTATGCAATCAAGCATCTCATATTTCTGTTCAAAACCCTGTTATGTTTAAGGATTTGTTCATAGGCATGCGTTGACACAATCATTTTGAATACATTTTCCAGGAAAAAAGGTGTGGAGGAAACAGAAAATATGAAATTATAGATTCTCTGTGTTTTAGTGTGACAGGAATAATGAAACATAGGCTTTTAGGAGCACAACATGATAATGAAAAAAAAAAATACAATATTTTATGAGTGCTTACTACTTCCTGACACTTGGGATAGTCCATAACTGACTGTGACATGATTTAATGCGTAATTTAATAGTCAGATTTCACTATTTTGAAAATAAGTATTTCTAATCAATAAGTAATAGCAGGAGGCAGTCTCTCAGGTAGCCAATGACATCATTTAAACCAATGGCATCATAATATGGTACTAAACAAGGTCCATCAAAGTAAATTCACATAAGGGTTTAACTTGGACCATGATCCAAGGTGGCGCAGTGGTTAAATGCAGCACTGCAGGCTACTGCTAGATCAGCAGGTCAGCGGTTCAAATCTCACCGGCTCAGGGTTGACNATGCATCTTTTTTCTTCATTCTCTATATAACATTCTATATATTCTATGTGTAACAACCTTTATTACATTTGAATCGCTTTACATCCATTCCCTATTATTTATTTGCTACAGTCTATTTCGTATTTCTACCTTTTAATCATTTTCCGGTTTTGTAGTTGTTGTTTTTTTTATTTGTTGATCTTTCTTCCTTTCTTCTTTGCTTTCCTGCTTCCCCTCCCCCTCCCCACGGAGGTTTTGGTGTCTTGCTATTAAAGTACATTCCAGTTAAGCTTGTCTCGGCATTCGTTACTGGACGGAGGAGGGAGTCAGAACAGATTTTTATTACTGGTATAAGACAAAGTGACAAGACTGGGACAAACTGTAAATAATGTGATGGGATAGAAGGATAGATAATGTATTAAGCTGGCTAATAGCTAATATTTTTATCTGTATATAAGGGGATTGTGTGGTCGTAACGGCTTCGCTGGGCTGCACTATTTTAAATGTAAAAACAATACAAATATATTTTTTTTTTAAAAGAGAGAGCCTGGCTGCCGTCTCTCAGGCCCCCTAAATGATAGGCAGCCCCCTCCCCAAAAGGAGAGCCGCAGTGGAAAGAGGCAGGTGACCCCCCCTGTCCTGTCCCGGAGCTTCCTGGGACCTTCGGACTGGACGGGCCCTTTGGTTGACCCAACTCCCTTGCAGGTTCCCGGCCCCCTCCTCCCCGAGGAGAGACCCCCAGCCAACTCTTCGATGCAGAGCTCTCCGAGCCCCTAGCGCCCTGTTCTCCAAGCCCCCCTCCGAAGTCCCCGGGCGCCCGGCAGCGCCATCCAGAGGCGGAAGAAGACTGCATGGCCGCCCTGCGGCCGGTGAAGAAGAAGCAGCGGCTGCTGCTGGAGCAGACCCTGGCGGGGGAGGCGAGGCTGGCCCCCCCTGCAGACTATCAGGCCGCCATGCTTGGGGTGGGGAGCGCCCGCCTCCCTCCGAGCCCCGAGCGCCACAAAGCCCCCCCCAGGCCGGCCCTGATCCCAGCGGACGAGTACGTGGGGGACGACTGGCTGGAGGACGACCTCGCGCCTGGCACGGGGTCTCGCAAAAGGAGCCGCTGGAGCCCAGCCGGAACTTGGGGGTCTGGCTTGGAGGACAGCGAAGCGGGGGCTCCTCGGCAGCCCCCTGAGACCACCAGCAGCAGGAGGAGGAGGAGGCCCGCCCGGCAGACGCGACTCACCCTCGACCGGACCCTGCTGGGCAGGAGCCGAGGAGCCGACCCCCCACCCAGAGTGGACTCTCCCGCTGAGCCCGGCAGCCTTCTGGAAGGAGCCGGCAGCAGCCCCACTCGGCGGGGAGACAGCCCCCCCTCGGGTGCCACGCAGGTGAGTTATGGGACTAACCCCCCTCACCCCCCCCTCCTGAGCTGAGCAGGACCCCAAACAGCTTCCTCAGCCTCTGCTCCCCCCTCCCTCTGCTGCAGCTGCCATCGCCTCCTGTCCGGGTGCGAGTGCGAGTTCAGGACAGCGTCTTCCTGATTCCAGTGCCAAAAAGGTAAAGGGGGGGGGGGGGTCTTTCCTTAACAGCCAAGATGGTGGTTTTCTATTTTGGCCACTAAATAAGGACTTGCATTTTGCATTGATAAGAGCTGAGATGGCGCAGTGGTTAAATGCAGCACTGCAGGCTACTTCAGCTGACTGTTATCTGCAGTTCAGCGGTTCTAATCTCACCGGCTCAAGGTTGACTCAGCCTTCCATCCTTCCGAGGTGGGTGAAATGAGGACCCAGACTGTGGGGGAAATATGCCGACTCTGTAAACCGCTTAGAGAGGGCTGAAAGCCCTATGAAGCGGTGTATAAGTCTAACTGCTATTGCTATTCCTCTGGGGCTGGGAAGCCGAGATGCCGACCCCACGTGAGAAGTGTGTGTGCGTGCGTGGCCTTCCCCGAGAGCCTCTGCTGACCGGCCTCCTTCCTCTTCCTCGCAGGGAGGGCGGGAGCCGTCCGGTCTCGTGGCTGGCCGAGCAGGCCTCCCAGCGCTACTACCAGGCCTGTGGGCTCTTGCCCCGCCTCACCCTCAAGAAGGAGGGGGCCCTGCTGGACCCTCAGGACAGCGTCCTGGACGTCCTGCAAAGCAACGAGGAGGTGAGTGGCTCGGGGGGGGAAGGGGGGTTTTTTGGGCTACACAGCAGGGGGCTGGTGCCAGGAACCGGAACAAACTCCCTGGAATTTGGGGCGGGAAGACCGAGCGGGATATTGGGGTGCTCCTGACGGAAGCCCCTGGCCAAAGGAGAAGAGGAGGAGGGGGAGCCTTGGGACGAGCCATGCGAAGCGGAGGCAGAGGTTCTGCTCTTCTGAACCGGGGACCCCTCGGCCAGGGAAGGAAGGGGGACTCCCTGGGGAGGGGGCTGTTCCTTCTCCTTCCAGACCAGCTGACCCTCCCCCCATTCCCCTTCTCTGTCTCAGGTCTTGGCTGAAGTCCAGTCCTGGGACCTGCCGCCCCTCCTGGAGAGATACCGTAAGGCCTGCCAGACCCTGGCGGTGGGTAAGCACCCAGCCTTCCTCTGCACAGCGCTCTCTCTTCTTCTTCATCATCGTCATCTTCTTCTTCTGCTTTTAATCCCTTGCGAGGTGGAGTCTGGGCAACTGAATGGAGATGAGTGTTTTTACTGGCCGGATGCCCATCCTGTTGCCAATGCGGAGTTTTGTTCAGCAGATACCGTATTTTTCTGAGTATAAGACACACTTTTTCCCCCAAAAAAGAGGGTGAAAATCTGGGTGCGTCTTATACACTGAATACAGCATTTTGGTCTCCCAAAACCCTACCCTGCCCATTCTGTTTTTCACAAAATTGGACACGCCGAGGGTTTGGGAGGCCGGCAAAATGCTCCTGGGCCCCAGGGAAGCCAAACACTTTTTTTAAAATTTACCTCTTGGTGCGTCTTATACTCCAGTGCATCTTATAGTCCGAAAAATACGGTGTATATGCTCACTGTGCCCAGAGAGATCAATATCTGCCTCCACCTGGGATTGAACTCACAGCCTCTTGGCTGGGAGGCAAGAGCTCCGCCTCTAGGCCACTGTGGCCCTCTGCACGACGCTCTCTCTGGATATAGAGAGCTGAGGTGGCGCAGTGGTTAAATGCGGCACTGCAGGCTACTTCAGCTGACTGCAGTTCTGCAGTTCGGTTGTTCAAATCTCACCGGCTCAGGGTTGACTCAGCCTTCC